AAAAGGAAAGACAATTGGGGATAGGAGAGCAGCAAGGTGGGCTTTCCCTGGAATTGTGTGCAGATGCATCCAGTCGCGGCATTGCAGGAAGTCTGTCTGATGAAGCTTGGGAAGCATTTTGCAATATTCCCTTTGTGTTCCTGGGTTCCCTGCTCCCACTTTTCTTCCCCTGGTCTGTGATTATTAGGAGAGAGGTTTTGTGAAGACTCGTTGCTGTGAAAGCATCTTTTTTAAAATTTTTATCCTAGAGTCAGTCACTTTTATTCCAGGTGGTCATGCTGACCTACTTATCCAAAACCAGCTAACCAGGTTCATCCTACCATCCTCATGGAAGACTTTGTGTATGAATTGGAATAACAGTACTGAAATACACTCAAACAGTGCCAGCAGTACTTCCCGGGGGTGCCTATCATCCTCATGGAAGACTCTGTGTATGAATTGGAATAACAGTGCTGAAATACACTCAAACAGTGCCAGCAATACTTCTCGGGGAGGGTATATTTCTCTGTATGCTACTCTGAGCAACTTCTCAGAAATACGAGGGGGCTGAGGTTTTCCCATCTGGGAAATCGGGTGAAAGTCTGCAGATTGTTAAATATAGTATCAGAGAAAAAGAAAAGTCAGTGATAGAAATAGATCATTTCGTAGACATTAGGGTAGATTTTTATTTCAACTACTACTGGAGAATTTAATAAAAAGCATTATTGTTTGAAAAGTTTTTCTAACATAGATTTAGGGATTTTTTTTTTTTTTAGAGTGGACACACTACTGTACATTTAAAAGCAGTTATTTTGCTATTCAGATTAATTTTTTATTATCTGAAAATGAGATTATCTGTTTTACTTTTCAAAGTTTTGTGAAACAAACTTGAAGTTATAGGGAGGTAAGCCATCTCCAAGTCTGCAGGTCAAACAAAAGTTTGGAAAATACTTTTGACATCCCACAATCCAGAATGTCTTAACACGAGATTTGAATTTCACGATGTGTGGTTCCATCTAATAGCAGACACCACCCCGATCTCATGTTTTCCTGTTACCCTAAAACAGTGGGAGGAAACTGGGTGTTTGGTAGACTTCTAAATCGTGGTCTCCGACGACTTGAATCTGAGATTCTCACCTCCATTTACTAAAGAATCATGACTTAACTCAAACTGCACAGTAATCAAACTGCACAGTAATCAGTAAAGTGAATACGTCTTTAAAATGGAATTGTCTCCCTTCAGCAACCTCTCATTAAGGAGTGAGACTGAGTATTTTAAGATAGAAAGATCTGTGAGTGATTGAAAGGTGATATTTTAAAACTTGGATTTCATTCCAGTGTCACGTTTTGAGTTTTAAGTTCCTTTGGTCTGGGGAAGGGTCCAGGCAGCCACAGTTGCCCTAAATCACCATCATTTAGTCTTCCAGCAAGGTTAAGTGCGGCGCGGAAGGAGAAGGGGGACGAGGACGGTAACAGCCCCGTACTCTGTGCTGAGAAAGAGTAATTAGGAGACCTGAAGAGGGGCCGAGGAAAGGCTGTTGGAGCGTGTTGGGGTTAGTACCCGAGCACCTTCCCCTCACCTCAACCAGGGAAGAGCATCTGGCTGCTTTTTAAAGTTTTTAGTCTGCCCTCGCAAGGACAAAGCATGTTAGATTAGAGATGCTTCTGCTGATTGCAGGGGTTCTTATTTGAGAACATATATGAGGGGGGTGGGGTGGGAGGAGACAGGTTGTGGTTATGCAGGAAAATCTTGTCCTAAAAATATATGAGTTTGGGGGTAAGGGGTGGGATAGCCAAGCAAAATCGGTATTTTAAAATGAGCATATGTATTTTTATTAACTTTTAGTTAAATACAGATTTTACAACGAGGTCAGCATAAGCCTACATCTATATAGAGAGCTAACTCAGGCATTGTCTTGTTTATTTGTAGACTGGATTAAAAACAACCTGTCCTGTTTTGTCAGTTCCCAGCTTCTTCGTTTAGAATAAATTAGACCAAAAGAAGAAACGTACTTGTCTCTGTATAACCGCAGAATGAAGTTACTGTTGTTAAAACTGGATTTTTTACTTTACTAGGTTCCGAAGAGTCCAGATGCTTGGTTAGATGTTCAATATGTGATTTTTTTTAATTGAGTTTGTTCATTTAAAATCCTCCTTAACATTTCTAGAAAGACTTCTTTCAATAGATAATGGAATCTTAGAGGAAAAGTGATTTTTTAAAAGCTAGGAAACTCCTCCACTAAAAGTAACCATTGGAAACCTCGATTGAGGGCTAAAGTTTTAATCCTAAGAGAAATGGCAGCATAATGAAATATGTACACATGCATAGTGGTCCATTTTAGGAGGCCAGTGGTGTCTGATAAAGAAATGTTAGAGTAGTGAGGTCGGGGAAGGAAATTGTGGGGATTTGTAATCTCTTTACGTTGTTTCTCTTCTGAGTCATGGTAAAACAATAAATTATCTTCTCTAGGTGGCAGTGCTTGTGCTGGTTTGTTTTTTGTTTTTGTCATCCTTGGTTGCATAAATACACATTGGGGGCGAAGAAAAAAAGTATTTCAAAGTTAAAAGACTGGAGCTGCAACCCACAGACAAAATTCTCATGCAAAACTATTTGTTTACTTTATAAACCAAAATTAAATTTCAAAGGCCTCCCAGTCACCTGAATGGACCTCTCCTCTCAGCCAAAGGCATTCCAAAGTTAACCTGAAAAACTAGTTCAGGCCATGATGGGAAGGGGAAGCCAGACATGCCTCATTATACCCTCTCCTCTTATGGAATTACTGATACAACAGACCCTAAGACTGATAGACATGGCCGGGCATGGTGGCTCACACCTGCAATCCCAGCACTTTGGGAGGCTGAGGCGGGCAGATCACCTGAGGTCAGGAGTTCCAGACCAGCCGGGCCAACATGGTGAAACCCCATCTCTACTAAAAATACAAAAATTAGCTGGGCGTGGTGGCAGGCGCCTGTAGTCCCAGCTGCTCGGAAGGCTGAGCCAGGAGAATTGTTTGAACCCAGGAGGTGGAGGTGCAGTGAGCCGAGATCATGCCACTGCACTCCAGCTTGGGCAACAGAGTGAGACTTCAAAGAAAAAGGGTGAACTAGGAGGATGTGAGATTGTGTCCAGGAGGCATCCAAACACATCTGTGAACTGTTTTTACTTGCACTTCTGACACAATATGTGATTTTTTTGATACACCTACCAATTATCTATCTCTCTGGACACCAACTGGGTGCCCTATGATTCAGTTCAATTCTGACACTACCTATGGCTGGTGCAGACCCCAGCTACACACACACACATTTTTTGAGATAGGATCTTACTGTCACCCAGGCTGGAGTGCAGTGGTGTGATCATAGCTCACTTCAGCCTGAACTCCTGGATTCAAGCAGTCCTGCTGCCTCAGCCTCCTGAGTAGCTGGGACCACAGCTACTTTTTTGTGTGTATTTTTTGTGTGTATTTTTTGTAGAGACTGTCTGGCTATTTCCCAGGCTGGTCTTGAACTCTTGGGCTCAAGTGATCTGCCTGACTTGGCCTCACAGGTGTGAGCCACCACACCCAGCCCTATTTTTTTTTTTTTGTAATTATTTTCTTTTATAGAGATGGGGTCCCTCTGTGTTGCCCAGGCTGGTCTCAAACTCCTGTCCTCAAGCAATCCTCCCACCTTGGCCTCCCAAAGTGCTGGGATTACAGGCATGAGCCAGTGTCCGACCCAGAACTGGATTTTATTTTTCTTTATTTTTGTAAGACAGGGTCTCGTTCTGTTGCTCAGTCTGGAGCGCAGTGGCATGATCATGGCTCACTGCAGCCTCAACCTCCTAGACTCAAGCAATCCTCCTGTCTCAGCCTCAGCTGGGACTACAGGCATGCACCACTACGCCTAGAATTTTTTTTTTTTTTTAAATTTTTTGCAGAGACAGGGTCTTGCTATGTTGCCCAAACTGGTCTCAAATTCCTGGGCCTCAAGCAATCCTACCACCTCAACTTCCTGAAGTGCTGGGATTACAGTCATGAGCCACCATGCAAGGGCCTAAAATCCAGTTTTAGCAAGAACCCTGCTAAGTTAGTTTAGCAAAAACCTCCCACCCTCCGTATCTAATTACTCTTTTTTCTTTTTCTTTTCTTTCTTGATTTTTTTTTTTAAGACAATCTCTCTCTGTTGCCCAAGCTGGAGAGCACGGTCTCGGCTCACTGCAACCTCCACCTCCTGGGTTCAAGCGAGTCTCCTGACTCAGCCTCCCGAGTAGCTGGGACTACAGGCGCACACCACCACACCCAGCTAATTTTTGTATTTTTTTTAGAGTCGGGGTTTCACTACGTTGGCCAGGCTGGTCTCGAACTCCTGACCTCAAGTGATCCACCTGCCTCAGCCTCCCAGAGTGCTGGGGTGACAGGCGTGAGCCACTGCTCCCAGCCCATATCTAATTACTCTTGATATTTATCTGATCGTGTTCCTTGTCCTCCACCATCCCCCAGGTGATGTCTGATCAGCCTGGCCTGTCTTCAGCAAGAATACCCCTTCCATCTGATGTTTCCTCTTGGTCATTTTCCATCCACTGACTCCCATCCTACTCCTTGGCTATACATTGCCACCTGCCCATGCTGTGTTCAGAGCTGAGCCCAATCTCTCTCCCCTCACTGCAAGACCCTACTCCAGTGGTTCCTGTGTTTATTAGGATGGTCCTGAATAAAGTCTTCCTTACCATGCTTTAACAAGTAGCGTTGAATAATTTTTTTTTTTCATTACGTTTAACTCCACCATTCCACTTTCATTCCTTTTTTCTTTCAATTTCTTTAGCAAATGTCTTCGCAGCTTTCCAACATGCTGTACATGTCTTCTGCTTCCTGGAAGAAAAAGGACATGTTCAGAGTTGTCATGGGCCAGAGGCTTGCCCAGCCTGCTCTAACGGAAGTCAAGGTTTGGTTACCCTCTACTGGCCAGCTGATGGCAGCAAAAACAGGTGATGATGAGAATGAGTGAGGAAGATCCAGAAAGGCGCCTTTTTGGAGAGAACCATGAACACCTTACTGGAAATGGAAGGGAGGTTCCAGAGACAACACTAAACACTGGAATCTTTTCCTCTCCTGGATTTATGCTGTAAAGGGCACTGGAATTATTTTTCTTTTGTCAAACCAATAATCTGCCAGGCATGGTGGTGTGCATCTGATCCCAGCTACTTGGGAGGCTGAGGCAGGAGAATGGCGTAAACCCGGGAGGCGGAGCTTGCAGTGAGCTGAGATCCGGCCACTGCACTCCAGCCTGGGCGACAGAGCGAGACTCTGTCTAAAAAAAAAAAAGCCAGGCATGGTAGCATGTGCCTACTTGGGAGGCTGAGGTGGGAGGATCACTTGAGTCCAGGAGTTGGAGGCTATCTGTCTAAAAAAAAAAAAGCCAGGCATGGTAGCATGTGCCTACTTGGGAGGCTGAGGTGGGAGGATCACTTGAGTCCAGGAGTTGGAGGCTACAGTGAGCTATGATCACACCACTGCACTCCAGCCTGGGCAACAGAGTGAGGCCCTGCCTCAAATAAATAAATAAAAATAAAAAATCTCTTGAGACATAGCAGGCACACAGGATTGGAGAATCTGGCTTGTGCTCTCAGCTTTGATACTAATTAGCTAACTAGTGTACCTTGGATCTGACTTCTTCAGGCACTGGTTTCTTCATCTGAAAACAAAAGTTTAACCAGATTGTCCTTAAGGTCTCTTTTGACATTAATATTTTACAGCAGCTCAGCCCCTTTGCTCGAGGAGCATCTCAGCTCTGGAAAGGACAATGGGTTTGGAAATAGACGGACTTTCTTCAAGCCCCAACATAACCACTTAATGGTTTCATAACTAGACAAAGACCCATTGACCAAGAGGCTGGATGGAGCCCTGCCAAAGCATCAACACAGGTGTGGCTCTTGGAATGTGTGCAGGTTTCCTGGCTCTTCCCTCTGTCCTGGTGATCCTGTTTCCATTTCCCATCTCTTTCTTCCCCGTCTAACTGACAGGCAGTAGAGCACAGGCTTTGGAGAAAGGAGGCCAAGTTTCACTTCTGACGCTCCCACCTATCAATTGTGTGATATTGGAAAAGTGACTTTTCTGAGCCTCTTTCCTGGTCTATAAAATGGAGATTTTAGGGCCAGGCACAGTGGCTCACAGTGGCTCCCTGCACTTTGGGAAGCTGAGGCAGGCAGATCACTTGAGGTCAGGAGTTCAAGACCATAGGGGAATGAATTAAAAGGACTAACCATGTGATAATTGTTAAAGCTGGCCAATGGGTACATAGAGGCTGTTTTTGTTTTTTTGTGAGACAGAGTCTCGCTCTGTTGCCAGGCTGGAGTGCAGTGGTGCAATCTCAGCTCACTGCAACCTCTGCCTCCCAGGTTCAAGCAATTCTTCTACCTCAGCCACCCGAGTAGCTGGGATTACAGGTGTGTGCCACCACACCCAGCTAATTTTTGTATTTTTAGTAGAGACGGGGTTTTCAGGATGGTCTTGATCTCTTGACCTTGTGATCTGCCTGCCTCAACCTCCTAAAGTGCTGGGATTACAGGCGTGAGCCACTGTGCCCTGCCAAGGCTCATTTTTTTTTCCTTCTTTTTAAGAGAAAGCAAGTTTGTTAGAGAAAGTAAAGAAACAGCCTGGTGCGGTGGCTCACACCTGTAATCCCAGCACTTTGGGAGGCCGAGGCAGGCAGATCATAAGGTCAGGAGATCAAGACCATCCTGGCCAACATGGTGAAACCCCATGTCTACTAAAATACAAAAACCAAAAAACAAAAATTAGCCGGGCGTGGTGGCATGCACCT